ACAATTAAAAAATCAATAACAAGAAAGCGATTAAATGTGATAATTTAAATCATACGGTAGTACAACAAGTAATTGAGGTAGTAAAAGAAAATAAATAGACAACACAGATGATTTTAGGGCAAACGTACACTGACTAGTTTTCCGGTTCCACTAGTAATTTGTAATTATTGTTAGAATTTTTTTAGTTTTTACAAAACACACGATTATCAATTATTAAGATTTCATTTACTATAACAGGGAATAGGGTGAGGGATCCTTATCCGGATTTGTATTTTAAAATGTCAAACTATCTACTATGCCTCTTAACGAGTCTCGAATTTTCTGAATTTTTCCTTCGCGAACCCAAAATACTCGTCACATACCTAAAAATACCCAAAACAAATCTAAAATCGATATTGAAAACCCTTTCTGACTAATTTTAGGGTTCCGGCATGGCAGCGCTGTTGTGCTTCAACACCGGCTCCACTGCTAACGGTGGCAGTTCACCTCACCCTAATTAATTTGATCTATTTTACACGCATCCCTATAAAAAATACGGTAGGAAAAATCGATTGGCCAGAAAAATTGAAAAACAAAACCTACCAATGGGGGGTCTCTGGGTGCGGCAGCTCTGCCGATTCTCTCTCGCGACTATGATTCTTCTCCGGCTAACCTACATAGAAAGGAACGGTGAGCATAATGATCAAAGAATTGCATGAAACAGGAAATGAGAAGGAATTCATCGGAGGGATTTTAGGGTTTCGGCTGCGGCAACTTTGCCGTACTTTACCCGCAGTTTCTGGCTCACTTGCCGTCCCTCTTGCTCCGATATGGCCACAGGGAGGCTCGGAATTGAATTCCGAGCCGGTAGGAAATTTTTTTACCTTCTTTGGCAATCGGTGGTGGCTCCGGTGTGGTGTCGATCGATGGTCGGCGGTTGACGGTTGATTTTCTTCTCCTGTGTCTGATTCTTCTTCTTCGGTGGGGGCTGACAGCTAGAGTTTGGGTTCCGCTGCGAAGAGGAGTTTAAATACTCCTCTCCTCTTCGATTTGTGCCGTTCATTTACGTTGACGTGAAGTGAGGAGGACTGTTCGATCGTTTCTCCTTTAAGCTGATGGCGTGGCCAAATCTCGTTCATTCTTCGCGTTTGAGCTCGTCTGTCCGATCAAGCCTAAAGAAAAAATGCATCTGAGCCGTCTACGCATGTGAGATCAATTCTGGACCGTCGGATCGTTGGGCATGTAGATCGCCTGCATGGCCCCTTGCGTGGCGTCGACGTCAGTATGTTTTGCCACGCCGCGCGCTCTTGTTCGCCGTGGCTGTTGACTGGACTATCTCACGTGCCCAAATTTTTTCTATTTGTATTTTGACCATCTATTTCTAATTTTTTTTTTCAAAAATACCATCCAAATTCAAAATTTCATCATTTTTTAAAAAAATTATTTTCAAATTTGTCCTTAATTTATTTTTTTCTCAAAAATTCAATAAAATTAAAATATAATAAATTAAATAATTATTTTAAATTTAATTAATAAAAAATTATCCCGGACCGATTTTCGAGCCTGGGTACTACATATAAATATAAAAATAAATAGTTTTAGAATAGAGTATACTAAAAAAAGTCGAGAAAATTTAAAATTGATCCATAAAAATAATGTATTTATAAATATTTTTATAAATTTAAAAATAACATGATTTATAATTGAAAAAAAATAAAACAATAATGAAAGTAATTTAATTTAGTGAATAAATGATCTTATATTCACAAAGAGCCTTTGTAAGTTGTAATCAGTGGGTTGATGGGCTCCACCCCCCATATTTCAACCAGTCTCATTCAACATCAACACTGTAAAAGAGAAAAGAAAAATCTAAGTTAGATATTTTGTATATTTGAGTTTTACTTTTTAAATGTTTTAAAATAATTATTTTAATTTTTTTTAAGGCTTGTTTGTCATATGAATTAGGATTTACATGAGAAGAAAAAGACATTGACAATGAAAGTAGAAAGTTAGGGTTAGGGTTTATCTTCACTTTTTTTTTTTTTAATTGCATTTGTTTCAGAATCAATCATCATAATGGAAGTATGTCCGTGATTTTAGGGTTTGAAGTTTGAATTACTTAATTTCTGTATGCATGCGTCGTCTGCGTGTAGAGCAAAAATCCTTATTGATCACGGTAAGCCGGAAAGTGAGATAATGCAAATTTTTTTGACCGTCGATCCCAAATTTCTATACGAGCCGTCTGATTGATGGGTTAGAGTTAGAAATCCAGCTGACTTTCTAAAATGTCGGCTACTAAGATGTAAACGTGTTACCTGCTAATTGGGCAAGTAGCGACACAACTGCCGTACGGCAAATACGGCTTAGTATTAAGGAAAGTGGCCAGTCGGAATAGAAGTTAAAAAGGTGACAAAGAAATATATATATATATATATTTTCAGACCCTCTTTCGTCCTGCAAGTTAAAAACTCGTAAATGTTAAAATTCGTCTGTTTAATTATCCCTCTCGTGTTTAGTATTATGTATTAAATGCATGCATTTTTCTCAACTATCAAAAAATTAATATAAAATTTTTTCAAACATATATCAGACATATTTATGACAATATACCAGAATATAATCCTTAAATATTAGATCAAACTGAAGGAGTGCGTGTATTAGATGTCCTAAATCCATCATATTAACCTTTTTTTTTTTTCAGAAAACATAACAGCAAAGTTTCTCAATTGAAAGAAATCAAATTTATCAACATATTTAATCAGCTCAATCACAATACGTTTAAAAAAGAAGAGCTTGGTTGTTTGTCACCTTTCTAAGAATGGATTTGTCACCCTTTAAGCTTTTGGCTGTTATCGTCTCAACCACCACTTATACCAACCAAAGAGAAAAAAAAAAAAAGAATCACTTTAATTTGTGCCTAATTTCACAAAATCAAATATTCTAATTGCTCATTTGGTTGCCCTACAAACTATCTTCCATGTCACTTCATTTGTCGTAATGCTGACTAATGGCCAAAAATAAGTGATTTTTAATTTACTAAATTGATTATAATTCTAACCCTGTACTTGTTTGTCAATAATGCAGGGGGAGCTAGATGATCATAATTTTAATTCCATCTTCTCATTGATCCAAATGATTACGAGCTCATAAAAATTTTTGATTAAAAAAAATGGGGTATGAGATATCAAAATTGCAAACAGAAAGTGTTAAGGAAAAAAAAGAAACTGCAGCATCAATGGAGGAAGTTTATTTAAAAAAGATTTCTTGCCAAGTGATCCCTTGCTGTGGCCAAAGCTTGAGTTAATGTCTGCAATAGAGATACAAAGTAAACAAAGTAAGATTGAGATCTAAAGGAATGAAAGAAAGCTTAGCTGCTATATTACAAACATAGTGGGCGTGCCTAAGGGATCTATGCAACCAATGGTTTTGGTTATTAGTGGTGATATTGCGGCTTACACAAACATTTTGCTTTTTTTAATTGTTCATTTTTTCAGATTTTACTGTTTTTTTATTCGAATTAAATCAGAAGATTTTGCTCCGTGTTAATCTTATCTCATTAAACTTTGAAAAGACATAATTCCATCACCTGCTCTGACATTAATTGTCCACCAGTTTCTGCATCGTGGACTGCCACCTTCCCTACAATCACACTGGGATCTGTTTCCAGTATCATCCTGAGTTTTTTTTTACAAAAAAAAAAACATGAAACAGTCATAAATTAATAAAAAAAAATGAACCAACTGTATCCATCATAAGAAATTTGACATAATGTACATATTCAACACATCTTCTCTGTTTGCATACATGGGGAAGAGAACAACAGGGAGAAAGAAGGAAGACTCATGATGTTGCAGCCGTTTATTTGCCCCTGCATACGAACTAGTCTCGCCTTGTAATTACAACTTAAAGAGATACTGAGTGACTCTAAGACCATTATAATTTTAGGGGAATCACAACTCAAATCCTACTTATCAAGCTGAAGCCTGTATAGACCATATATCAAAACTACAGTTTTTTATGTGGGATCCGAGTCCAATTTACCTTACAATTAGCAACATCTTCAACCTCCTTAACTTGAGTTGGTGGTTGGAGGTTCAGTTGCAACTGAGTTAAAGTATGGACTTAGTATTAGAAAATTTTTGTTGTATCCCTAATTTCTGCAGCTATTTTCAAGATTATATGCAAAGAAAGAATTACAAGTATTCATTAGAGTATTTTCTTGTTTTGATAAGATTAGAGATTATTGGTTCTATACACGACGTATTTTATTACAGGGTCCATCCTCTCCATGACCAATATGGAAATGCTTTGGAAGATCTTCTAGATATTTTAAGTGGATTTCTTTACTAGATCCATTACAATACTTAGGTACATTGATGGCATACTCTAGATTCCTTTGGATGTCATTTTCTTTTTTCTACTAAAAAGTATAAGGTTTCTGGGATATGCAATGTAGATCGCTTACTATATTTAGCCAAACAGACTCCTTTCTCGTTTCTTTTTGCTGCATGGGCTCAAAGACCCAAAGATGTACCATGTATTGTTTGTAACCCTATCCGAGACCATCCCAAGACACCACCCAAAAGGAAAATCTCATGGCTCCACTTCTTATACAAGGGCAATGGTGTAGAATATATGGACAACAAAACACATAACATACCCCTGATCGACCATCTCATCAAGGCATAGGAAAATGAGATCCAAGTTCTCAAGTGCCTCCCTTTTGTCAACATTGTTCCTAAGCAAAAACAAGGAAATCGAAAATGAAGAACCAAAAAAATGATCAGCAAACTGAAATCAATGAGATAAGGTCGACTAATAGATATTGATACCTCAGAAGTAGGCTAACTGCCTCAACAAGTCCTTGAAGAACAGAAGCTAAGATGAGTTCATTTTCATTATCACCTCCAGTCACAAAGAAATGCAAGTCTTGTGCAAACTTGTAGACAATAATATTGTTCTCTAACAACAAGATCTCTGCTGCAAATATCACATAGAATTTGATTTTTGCATGCTACTCAACAAGATCTTCCAAATGAAAAATGGCACGTTAGGAATCGAGTAAAGAATGTGCAAGCAAGCATAAAGGAGATGATTTTGGAGAGACATGAGGGACAAGTTTTATTAAGTTATTTTTTGTAAGACAGATAGTGGCACTGAAGGCCATAAATTTGTCTATAGGAGAAATATAGCAGCAGGTAAAGGACATTATACATTGGAAGAGGCTGATATAAATAGTCCATCATACCTTCTCCACGAGCATTAGTCTTACTGGTCTTGGAGAAGATATATTTCTCGAAAGCTAACTTTGCACTATTTGTTGGCCAGTCATCTGAATAATATTTGACAGCCACACGCTTTCCTTCGGAGTCTAAAAGAAGAATGTTCTTTACTGAAGGGCATGACTCCTATGACATATATAGAACAGAATTATTGGAACATAGCTACTCATATCAGAAGCTAGAAGGTGTGGAACTTCTAAAAATCAAAGACTAAAAACATTAAGAAGAGCATATCACAGATACCTTGTAACAGAGAAAGGGTAAGGCTATAAGAATTAGAAATAGGGATAACTAGTCCAGTCACAAGTCTGACTGAGGGTGGATTGACATTAATTCAACATGATGAGGACTTAAGGGCTGCTCTCCTTGTACAAGCACTTCAAAACATCTGACTTGATGGAAAATTTATTCAAATTGATATAGAAGGGCTTCTTTGAGTTTAAATTCATTTACATCCTATCAGCACTAAACAGAGTTAAACCAGAACCTAATATTTCAGATCCATTCATGGAATTACTGCAGACAATGGACAAGATGAGCTCTCATTATAAAACATTGATGCCTATTCGTATTATAAATAGACCAAAAGTACAACAACGAGATCTGTCAAATCCGAACGTCAAAACAGAATGCATAGCAACAGTCGTTCATTTTTTCCCTCGATTTCAAAAGGAACAAACAATAAACAATCGGAATTCCCAATCAATAATTTTTTACACTGATTTTATATCCATATCAAAAGCAAACTTTCAGGAATAAATAAGCGCATAATGCAAACAATAAATAATCAGTTATTATTTTCTCTTTTTCGTTTTCCGAAGAAAACTAAATCTAGATTTCGATGGTATTAGATCTAACTAAACGAAAATTGTGAGGTTGAAATCTCGAATTTCCTTTGTTTTTCTAAACTCGAGCACAAGAACAGAGAGAGTATCATGTAGGTTTAAGAAGATGAAGCTCCAAAATTGAAATACAAATTTTGCTCAAATTGAAGACAAATGAAAAATGTGAATAGCAAGTAATTGTTATGGAGATGTGGGAGAGAGACTTACGGGAGAGGAGAACAAGTAAGCCATTGATGGTAATGTGAGATACACCAAGACAGTAACAGAGTACGGAGGCTGTACGTATTATAGGGAGCCTTACTGGTAAAAGGCAGATTTCCTGAAGGGTAATTTTGTCATTTTGAATCCAACGATCGGTATTTGTTGTGCTCCGCTGACAGGTCAATGTTAAAATTGGAAGTTCATACTTACGGGTAAATAATTAGCTTTTTTTAATTTTTTCCCCCCATAAATTCATATATCCAAAACTAATTATCTCTTAACGGGAATTTGTCATGAAACAGATGATGGTGGTGGTGGTGGCGTGACTTTGAAAATGGCTTATTGAAATGTGCCTTCCATATATGTAAGACAATGCCTACGTACGTTTTGAGAGTACATACAGTTGGGTTGGGTACATAGAATTCTGGTGATGGCGCTATATCACGACCTTCTTATCATGAGTTGTAGGTGATTTAACTAGAAAGTACGAGATGGGTGTTCAATAGTTACACACGCACTCACATATATGACTTAATCAAGTTGTTGTCATATATAAAGAACCAATTTTTTGAACTAAAATCACAATATCCACTTCATAATTTAACTCTTTAAAAGACTGATCCAGAAGGTGTCAGTAAATACATTTCTATGTCCAAAAGCTCTATCTATACCAATCTTTTCACCCAAAACAACTCAACTCAACTCCAAAGTAACTCTAAAAGAGATTATTACAAATAATAGCAACAACAAAAAAGAAAAAAATCCCAAAAGGTGATATCAACAAATGATGTATTTTGATCCACTGGCTGACCGATCACATGGGACGCACAACTCATGACTCGAATATATACTACGGGAAAAAGGTAGATAACAATTAATTTGGTTGATTAAGGGGTGTAAAAGGAAGGGCCGCACTTGCATTTCCAGTCCATAGGCTCATAGTTAGAGTATTGCAAACCCACATGGCTATGGTGGCCGCTGATTGTGGGCACCTGAATGGGTTCACAAGGGTTGCATCCGTAGCACTTGTGTTCACAGCTTGGCGGACTTGACCCTATTTTGCTCACCCCTCTAGTCCCTTCTTTTTCTTCTTCTTCTTCTTCTTCTTTACTCGACTCCCTAACTCCTGTGCTCTTGACAACCTTCAAAACAAAACAGAAGAAAACCAACTTTTGTTTAGCCAATTGATGAATAATCAGACCTTTACATCATTTTCATCAAGATAAAATAAGAGAGAGAGAGAGAGAGAGAGAGAGAGAGAGAGAGAGAGAGAGAGAGAGAGAGAGAGAGAGAGACCTGTTTAGACTTGAGGTGGAAGCCCATGGAAACCTGTCCTGTGACGCATCAGCGTTTAAACCTAATTAGTTAAGCCATTATATTATTGCAGAGAAAGACAAAAGAAAAGAAGGCAACCAACCAAGAAAGAGGCCGGACTACACTCCTGCATGCCTGTGTAAGCTGGAAAAGAAATAGTTTTCAAACGGCGATGGCTTAATGAAAAAATCCATTTTTTTTCTATTTTATCTCAAGATGGTGACTGTGCGACTTTGTACAAGCAACAGAGTTATCAAGAATGCTTAAAAGCTATTATGATCATGCATTGTGTATAGAAAGAAGGAAAAAAGAAAGTATGGCCGCAAAGACGATTTCTTGGATGACATTCTTCTTGTTTTTGTTTTATTTTTTGGTATTTTAGGTAACTCGTACTGCTAATAAAAAGTGTAAATATAAATAAAAAAAAGGACCTGCAAAAAAGAAAAAAGACATAGCCAAGTTGGAAGAAAAAGTACGATTCTTTTGCTGATGATTAAAAAAGAATTATAATGATCTTCGCCAGAAAGCATGGCGAATAGGTAGCTAACCTGGTTGATGGACACCGGCAACTTGAGTACCATGCTCATTTGGTGCAAAAGACCTGCTTGTTGCAGAAACCCAACTCACTATTTGCAGGATTAATACTAGAAGACAACTCAATCGACCCTCCATTTCCCCAGAACTCAAATGATGATAATATGATAAAATGATAATGATGCTACTGGCACAGAGAGAGAGAGAGAGAGAGAGAGAGAGAGAGAGAGAGAGAGAGAGAGAGAGAGAGAGATTTCTTCACCCAGAGTCTATAATAGAAGGCCATGCATGGTTACTGTGATGTATATATAAGAAGGCAAGAATGTAAGAGTAGAAAACAAAACTCCCATTTCCCAAAAAGCAAAGCCAAGAACCTTCAAAAAGATTTATTGGGTTTCTTTTTGTCTTTCTTGTCTTGCATGGCTAGAGAAATATATTGCTTCAGAAGCAAGTGATATTCTGGTTTCCGCCGCAGCTCATACAGTTAAAAAAGAAAAACCAAAAGCTTCCATTGACAACTCAGCAAATTCAAAGCCTTTGTGATCATCTCTCTCTCAAATCAATTTTCTAAAAGTAATAGCAAATGAGGTAGCCATTAGCTTAAAATAACAGCTTCCTTTTTGGGTCTGAAGAAATCTGCAGGGACCCTATAAAATCAAAAGAAAGCTTAGCTTTCGCCTAGACTGCAGTGCCTTTTTCACCTCTGAAACTTCTCATTCCTATAAAGAGAGAAAATATCCAGTAGCAGAGAACCCCCATTTATGTAAAAGCCTTCAAAATTCAAAACTGTAGACATCAATTTTTAATGGAGTTAGTTAATAAACTTAGCAGTAAAAGTATTTGAGAGTCAACCTTTTTACAGATTGTTAGGTAGGGGACTTAGATGATCATCAGATCTCAGCCATCCATTTAGACAATCAGCCATGATAGCAATTAAGGTTTTGGGTGGTCCTTGATCGCCTTTCAAGTATCTTCAGACCACAAATATCAGTTAAAAATAGATTCCACCTCATATAAACATTCCCTTCTCTGTTTTCCTCTCACCTTGTAATGGTGAAAAGAATCAGATATCAACCAAATCCAGCATGTAATAAACAATTTAGTTTTAGTTAATCAACTTTGAGGCCTGAGCAGTGAGTAAAGTGAAGCAAGCTACCAGGCAAGTGATCTTCAGAGGAATGGAAATCTTTTGATTGCATCATTCACCGGTCTCTTCCTCTCTCGATATATAGCTGAGATGTCTAGGGAATAGGCACTGCAATGTGATTTTTGTTTCTGATTTGGAATGTTTTTCTGAGAGAAAATTTTCCATAAAAGACTATTTATGCTAAACTCATGGATGATAGAAATGAAATGAGAAGATTAGTCAAAAGACTCAATGCTATCTTCAGTTCTGAATGGATTTAAAAAGGGGAAGCAAAATAGTAACTGGTAACAAACAAATGCATCTCTGTACTCCTTAAATAAATGAGGGTGTAATGTTTATGGTTCCAGCTTCTCTTTGGTAGTTGTGTCTGATTAGAGTGATTTGATTACTCAATGTACTATTGTACTATTTCAAGTCTGTATTTCTCTTTCCACCCTGCATTTTCTTTCTCTTTCAGCTAATCTCCTCCCAGGAGACCTCCCACCTCCAGTTTAAAGCTGTTTACCACTGGGTTATAAAGATAAACCATGCTATAATAGACTTCTAATTTATTAAGTACTATTTTCACCGAGTAAATCATCAAAACCTCTCAAGAAACACAATCTTCCCCAGAAAAATACAATTAAAATTTTATTAGAAAAAGAAGCAGCATTATTTATCTAACTTCACCCGGAACCTTTCTAACTTGAGCTGTCATCAATGATTTAAACTTCATTATAAAGGCTAAAACCATTCTGGGAAAAGGTGAAGTTTGAACACATCAAAACAACTGTTAAGTTACACTCAGGAAAACAGGCATTTTTTATTTAACATCATGCTTTTACTAGCATTCACGAGGCTGTGTTCACATATTAACCTGTCAGAGACTCTAGTACAAGTTAAAGAGTAATTATCTTATTCATACAGTCCCAAGCTACTCAACCACTCCAAAAAGTCCTCCATAAGTTATGTCTCATCTTTCTAATCTCTTCCATCACTCATAAAAGTTAATATTTAATATGTTTTTTCAACAATATCCCAAGTGCAACAATAGGAATTATATAGTGCAGAAACAGTTTTTGAAACACTACTTAATGGTCTTATATATTTTTCGGTTATGATGAGTGCTTATGCATATACGTACTTAATGGTCTTAAAGACATCTCATTTCTCAGACAAATACATAAGGCAAACTTTTCAACATCACAGCATAGACAAGTATTTGAAAGATAATGTCAATACAACTTTTGTAATTAATATTTGACATCAATACATATTTCTTCTTCATTTTGGCAGTGAGGACCTAGACTGAAGCAGACATAATACACACATATTCACATTAATTAAGGCAGCCTTCCCATCCTTGGGCAAAAACACTCTCCTACTGCTGATCATAATAGACACCCAGAAATATTAGAGTGAAATAGGAAAGTCTTAAGCAAGTATCAGTATATAAATGCATTTACTTGTCCATATCAATAATGGCACTCGTTTCAGCAGCTGTCTAAGAGGTCATGAGACACAAACTCAAAGATTTTACCCTAAGCTCGTCCGCAGAGACTGGAAGGTTAGATATACAGTTGTGTGCAATGCAATCAGCCTACTTCTAGGCTTATTGACATACTAACTTACACGTTCTGATCAACTTAATAATGCACAGATCAACTTAAAAGAACCCAACTTTGACTAATCAGTAACAAAAAGCACTTGCAGCAGTTCTTTTGGTTTTTTGTTTTTTTGCATTGCATACAGATCAACTTAAAAGAACTCAACTTTAACTAATCAGTAACAAAAAGCACTTGCAGCAGTTCTTTTGGTTTTTTGTTTTTTTGCATTTGTTGCAATGCAGATCCCATTGAGGCTAAGAAATCAATGGCTTTATGTCATAAAAAAAAACCCAATGTGATAGGTTCAAATCCTACATAATGTGATTCCATTCTTGTTTGAGGATCTCACCAGAGCAGATTCTAGTTTTAATAGGCTACGAACTAGATCAGAATTATTCTCAACGAATCCATAAGAAGTGATCCCATCCCATTTTCTCCATTGGGTACTAAAGGTCTTTTCTTAATCCAATTATGTACTCCTTATGAGCACAGTAAAAATCTAATAACTAAATCCTCAAAAAACAAAGATTTATATGCTCACAAGAAGCTGCACAATATTACTGTCTTGATAGCACAAAGGAAATGATTTTCAATCTGTGACCGGATATTGGCTATGAAACAAACATGTATACACTATGTATTAAGTTACCTAAAATCAATTAAACATCACAAATATATATACCATGAATCAAACTGTAACAAGCAATTCAAGCCAATGCTTATCTGCATAATACAATTTTCACAATACAGGCATAACCGCCTCTTGCTTTCGAGATGATCAATGATCCTTGGATTCCTTTTTGGGATGAACTGCTTCAACAATGGCCTCAATTTCCTCCTTTACTCGTTCAAACACATTTGGCCCTTTCACCTCATCTATTGGAGTGTCCTCATCAATGTCATCATTTCTTCCATGAGTTTCCTTATGATGGTGTGGTGAATGAATTATTGCTTCAATTTCTTCCTTGGCTCTTTCAATCAAGTTTGGCGCTTTGACATCTTTTTCTTTCATGTAGCAATAAATAGTCAACATGTTTTGATTATACATGTCCAAGATAAATCTAAGATTACCACTGAACTTTTCAAGGAAAGGAATTACATATTTAATGTGCCATATATATATATACACATATATATTTGAGGAACTATATATATACACACTAAAAAACTGCATGCATCAGATTTTGTAACAAAATTCCACACTTATGAACAACTAATATTGCATCGAGGGTGAAAAGAATATATAGAGAAAATGGGAAAGAATAGAATATCCTCTTATGGATAAATAAGTGGGTGACAATCTAAAAGAAACAAATTAACAAATTTTTTTTTTTTTTTGAAAAACCGGCAAACATCAAAATAAACAAGAAAAGATGATTGCTGAAGTTGTCCAAGAAGAAATATCTCCTCCTAAATGAGTACCCTACTCTGATAATGATTTCACATACGTCTGCATGAATCTACAAAGCCATTGACCACAAGATGAACCTAGATGCAATATTACAATAACTAAATCCAGAAAACAAGTAACCGAATAACGGGTATCTTTGTTAGTAAAGATCAACGAGAAATCGAGATCAGTTTTATGCAAGGCCCATTTCCTATCAAATGATTACAAGACAATATTATGCGACAGCCCTCACAAAATCAAATCTATAGCAAAAATTGCTGCGATTTCAAATAGAACATGAAAAGAAAAAAGAAGAAAAAGAAAAGCATACTTGACGAACAATCTGGCTTCCGTTCCGCCATTTCTAAGGAAATCTAGGTGGGGTCTGACTTCGCAACTTTAACCTGCTATTCCGATTAAGAGCAGCCTCAGGACAATGGACGAATATCAAGCAGTTGATTTTGCAGTGAATTATAAGCTGCAGATTGGGCTCAAATAAGCATTTGAAAGCCCATATATTCTGGGCCTAGTATCTGTTCAAATTGTTTTAAATTTAAACTGTATTATTGAACTCAAATTATTAAATTAGTTTATAAAATTTAATATTTTTATTATAATTTAATTTTTAATAAAAAATATTAAATTAATTATGTTCTGTTTCTATTAATTTGTTAATTTAACATGATTAATTTAATTTAATTAGAGTTATTTTTTAAATTATTTTGTAAAGTGTCTAAATATACTGTAAACGAATTTTAGTTTTTTTTTTATTAGAAAATAAACAAAAATTGAGTATTTAAAATAAATAGTAAACATTAAGAACTAAATTATAATAAGAACATATTAGAGATTAAATTGTAACAAGTATAAATACAAATTGTTGATGCTATTTAGCACAACTTTAGATATCCTATGTTTACTTTGTTTTCAATTTAGTTTTACTAACTTTAGCCATTCCTCAGAAGTAAAAAACACAGTAATTAAGCATGCTGTTTATTTACTCTGGGTTTTGAATTATATAATATTTCTTCACTTTAATAAAGAAAAATAAAATTTAAAAGTTCTGACTTTCACTTAACATAAGAATAGATATTAAAATAAAACACACAGTTTATACGAAGGACAAGGGATATGCATTTTGATAATATAATTTTTTAACAATAACGTAATTTCTTACCTAAGATTCAAATTCATCTCCTAGTAGAAAAGGGTCCAGAATCTAAGTGACAAATGATTGATTGTTGCAATTTATTTTAGTTTATGGGTATTACAAATTTCAAAACCTCTTTCCATTTTCTATAATCTCTGTCTCTTACGTGTTTGAAGTTATATATTTCAGCTATGAACACTCTACTCAATGTTCTTGTTAAATGGAACAGAGAAGACCATGTTCTCATTATTAGTCTAGCTCTCCCTCACTATTTAAACAATGAAAGATTGGGCATGCCATGCACTGCATATATAAAAGGAAAGAACCAGTCATCACTCGCTACTTCATTCTTTTGTAAACACAAAACTGGGGATTTCATCCAGAAAAGGAAAGAGTGTTTTTGGACCTCATTCTGCTTCTGGTAAGATAATAAATTTATGTGTGTGTGTGTATATATATATACACACACATATATATGCATATGTATGTACTTTCATCTCTCGCTCTCTGAACTGTATTCCTTTTTTAATCAACGCTGTGGTTTGTACTTTATTTCTTTTTGGTTATTGCTTTGGTTCTGTTTAGGAATTGAAGTTAATTATGATCCAAATTCAAAATGCTGACTCTTCCTTATTGAATATAGTGAAGAAGGGGTTCTTGGTTAATTCTTTCTGGCGGCTGGAATGATTTAACAGGACAATTTCTTAATTGTAATGAATAAAACAGATCCTGATGAACTGGTTTTTCATTAGTAATGGAAGATATAAACGTACCATGTTATTTATTTGAATGGATCAATTTTACCACTTTTTTTGTGAAAATGAAGTTTCTTATTCACAAACCTGCAAATTTCATTCATTGAGTAGCTTAATTTTGAGACCCGACAGGGCTTTTGGTTTGACAGAAAATGAAGGCGATGGTTACACTAAGATCCATGGAGTTGAAGTCCAAAGATGGTGAGAAAATGTTGAAGAAAACCAGCCTTATGAAAAGAGAACTGGATGGTGTCGACGACTGTGATCTCGGGCTATATAATGCTTCTATAAGGCAAGAATCTGCAAGCTTCAAGCGAAGGAAATCTGAAATGCTAATGTGTCAACCAACTGTTTCATCAATTAAGTTAACAATTAATGGAAATAACTTTGTCGCAGAGGGAAAAGTTGATGGAAGCATTTATTCCCCACAACCCATAAATGTTTCTTGTCCAAGGTCACTTGGTGAACTTGATGCAGCTGCAACCAAGCTCCAGAAATTTTACAAGAGTTATCGAACTCGAAGGAACCTTGCTGATTGTGCTGTTGTTCTTGAGGAGCTGTGGTTTGTTCTTCTAAATTCCGTGTTTGGTTTTTCAGAATTTTTAAATTCCACGTTAGTTTAATGCAGCTGTGGTTCATTCACACGAACTTGTAGGTGGAAGGCACTGGACTTTGCTGCACTTAGGCACAGTTCGTTGACATTCTTCGATGCTGATAAATCGGAAACTGCAGTTTCCCGGTGGGCACGAGCAGGAACTAGGGCTGCTAAGGTGTATATTTTTATGCTGTAAAGTGCAAATCGAGATTTTTAACAGAACACATTTATTTTTAAGAATGATGGAAGTCATTTCACATGTCAAGTAATTCAACAATTTGGACCAATTTTAGTCTCTTTCAGAAAAAAAAAAAAAAAAAAAAAAAAGGTTATCTTGAGTGGTAGTTGGTTTCCTAGAAAGCTTACTCTTTATTTGACTGGGACCATGATTAGAATCAACATCTTTAGGTCTTCTTGTGAGATTACGTATTGATTAACTTTTTTATTAATGTTAATTGTAGGTAGGGAAGGGTTTGTTGAAGGATAAAATGGCCCAGAAGTTGGCTCTAAGGCACTGGCTTGAAGCTGTAAGTCCATTTTGGAGTGCTGTCACTTTGTCCTTGTGCTTATCTTTCCAACACTTGTTGCACCATCTGGGTAGACCAAAAGTTTTCAGTCAACACAATAATAACCTCCACATACTTAGAAAAGAAACATCATAAAAATTTGTGCTGTTCTTCAATGACAGAAACAGCATTAAGGCTTTATTATCATGACTAGTTTGATTAATTGTTGGTAGGACGATCAAAGATCATATTGTCAAATTAGAATACATTAGCTAAGCTTGCATTAACACAGTTTTCTTCTGCTCAGATTGATCCCCGCCATCGTTATGGTCACAATCTGCATTTGTATTATCGAGTCTGGTTTGGCAGTGAGAGTTCTCAACCTTTCTTCTACTGGTAATTAATTGAATAGACGCATAAACAGATCTTGGAATTTTTCAACAGATTTGATTTTTTTTTTTTTTTTGTGTCTAATCAAAGGTTGGATGTTGGAGATGGCAAAGAAGTAAATCTTGAGAAGTGCCAACGGAGCAATCTACAGCGCGAGTGCATCAAGTATCTTGGACCAGTAAGATTAACATCCTATCTTACTGCTTACGATTGCTAATGACATACATTGAACAGCAGTGCCAGTAGGTTTAATGTATTCTGATACTGATGGACAATGACTTGTTCTGCTTTCAGAACATACAAGTTCAGCACTTTCTGTTCCTGAAACATGAGTTGAAGTCAATTGATAGGAGATAGTTGGCAAATTTTGAAAGTGGGGTCAATTGTAGTTAAAAGGGAAGGGATCAGAAACCCCCCCCCCCATTAACAAATAGAAAACATGTATAGACAATGACTTAGACTTTTTATGGTTCAATTATATTGTCTACCAAACTATTTGTAGAGAATAAGAGACTTTTGACTCTATCTAATAATAAGCCATGTATACAAGTAGTAAATGACTAGGTTTCTAAAGATCATACAGTATCTGGAAATACCCATGTTTCACAATGTTTATTAATCAACTTAATAATAATCTGCAGTGGATTTAGATATAAGTTGTTGTATGTGGTGTTGCAGAAAGAGAGGGAGACATACGAAGTGAATGTGGAGAATGGGAAACTTGTTTACAAGCAAAGTAGGGATTTGGTGGACAGCAGTGAGGGATCAAAGTGGATATTTGTGTTGAGTACATCAAGGAAATTGTACGTTGGAGAAAAGAAAAAGGGCGAGTTTCAGCATTCAAGTTTCCTAGCTGGGGGTGCTACCATTTCATCTGGGAGATTAGTTGCTCATAGTGGGGTCCTTAAGGTAACTTTCAGGAACCTGCTATGCTGCAAATTTTGGGCAATCAAAACACATTCCTACTTGGTTTTTTGACTGTGGATTTGATGTTTGGTTCAGGCCATATGGCCTAACAGTGGTCATTACCGCCCAACACAGGAGAATTTCATGGAATTATGCAGATTCTTAGAAGAGAAAGATGTAGAGTTAACAAATGTTTTGGTGAGGAAACAAACAGTGATTGAAACACCATTTTGTACGGAATTATTAACTTCGTAGTGACATGTTTGGTGATTTTGCTGCAGAAAACACCCATTGATGATGATATTCCTCCTGTAGAAATGAATAAGGAGGTAAAATCAGGACGTGAATCTGCTAAAATGGTTAACACCCCAGAGGATGGCAGGAGTAGAAGGAAATGGTGTAGTGGGGCAGGTGCCAGGATCAATTGTGTGAGAGAGTACCCAGAAGAGCTGCAGTTTAAGGCTCTTGAACAGGTCAATCTCTCACCAAGGTCTGGTCCAATTCCTTTTCCAAGACCTAATCAACAAATCCTCTCCCCAAGAATTGCATCTATGGGGATGCATGCTAATTATGCCTAATTCAACAATTTTTTTTTTTTTTTTTTTTTTTCTTTTTGTTTTGGTGGGCACATCTTGAGGGTGCCATTAGAATGGTCTAACCCAGAAGTGGTGAAGGTTTGCTAATTGGGATCATCTCCATTTTTTACTGTACTAACTCTCTCTCTCTCTCTCTCTCTCTCTCTCTTCCCACCATCCAATTGAAGGACGTGACTTGTTGCTTGACCATTATTTGGTCAGACTTAGAAATCAAACATCAAATTGAACGCGACGGTTGCCACAATGTTTGCTAAAGAAAAGACAAGAAACAGAACATTACGTTTAGAATAAATTGAATTTTTTTTTTTTAATTGAAATTCAACATTTCATTTAACCATGAGAAAATATAAATTTGAAATGTATTGTTTCAATTTGTGACTGTCAATATTTACAGTTTCAAATATTAAATTATAATAAAATAAGTTTCAGGGACAAAATTTATACCCCGTAAAAAATTTCATTTCTTTTTTTTTTTTTCTTCTTATTCTAATTTCTAAAGATAACATAAGAACATTTCTTTTAAAAAAAAATTATTTATTAAAAAAAAAATTCCCACTTAATTTAATTATTATTTAAAAGAATGAAAATTAATTTTATGTAAACTATTAGTTGGATTCTAAATAAATGTTTGGTGATAAAATCTAGTTTATTAATATAAACATGACAAATGATGTAAATTGGTTTCCATGAAAAGTCCATTTATCCGTTACAAATTCAAATTTCTCCATTTCAAATTTCAAACGTCTCTCCCCCAAAATAAAACACTCCCTGCTTCCCCTCTTCATCCTCAAAACCATTCTTCCCCCTTCTCTTCTCCCTCTTTCCCAATTTTCATTTCCGCTTTTTAAGTTACCAACATATTAAGGTTTAATTTGGTTTTCATTTCTCTGTGATGGGTGCTTCTGGGAAATGGATAAAATCGCTAATTACGCTCAAAAAGCCAAATGCCGCTGAACAGGTAATTTCTAAAACCAGCAAGCAAAGCAGGAAAATGTTAATTTCCCCTTCCTTATTTTCCTGGCTTTGTTTTCTGTAGGGCAAAGTGGGTTACAAGGCTCCCAAGAATAAGTGGAGGCTATGGAGGAGCTCGTCAGAAGGGTTTCTTTCCTCATCAAAGGCCCTCAGGAGCCGTCATGTGGCTGCATCAGAAGCCTCCGATTCTTCTTTTGTTGTCGATGATGCCTTCACTGCCGCCGTGGCAACCGTGGTCCGTGCTGCGCCCAAGGATTTCATGGCGGTCAAACAAGAATGGGCTGCGATCCGTATCCAGACAGCCTTCCGTGGCTTGTTGGTAAATTAATTTCTTTGCTTAAGCTGTTTCGCTTTCTCTTTTGACACAAACAAACATGCTTACGGAATCGATCTCTCGTGACTAGTTTTTCCCTTCCTTCGTAAAGTATCTGGTTCTGAGACGATACTGTTTCTCATAATTTATGCATCTGATGAACTTATTTGAACGGGAATGTTAAGAAATAGACGCAGGCATTCGTTTTTTGTTACATCTTTGATTATCAAGTTGAATGAGTAGATGTTGATTTTAAGGATCCGTTTTTTAAGACGTGCAAAGTTCACCACGAGATCTATAGGAGTTGTAGTTGATGTGAGATCTAGTTAAAGGATGGACAAATCCTGTGTTATCCCTAACTTTAGCAGTCAAGCATGTCTGGTTATTATGGGTGCTCATTTTAGGTAGGAACTGGTAAAGGTGTTTCGATTTGTCTCCATGGAAAGATTCATATTTATTCCTTATCATTTTTTCTTTAGCTGCGAAATTTTCCATGACTACTTGTTTGTAAGCGTTTCTCAGTGCAGTCCCTGACTCGCTGTCAGTCATAAACTCCTAACCCTCGTAGTGATGATGCTCCTAGAAAAGTAGGAAAAAGATTTTTCAAAAATTTGAGTGGTATGCTGTATTGGGATTGTTTTGAGCGGCCATCAGGTAGTTAATTGAAAAGGGGAATGGGCATTTCATTTCTGGTGATGCGAGATATGAGTAGAGTTGAACCCTATTTGTAAATTAGAATACTTCAGTTATTTCTAAAAATTCTTGGTGAAAAATTTTCTATTTACGTTTTCTTTCCCTGGCTTCTGTTTCCCAAACACCAAAACTGTAAGATGATATATCAGGCTCTTCTAAGTTGACCTTTCTCCTCCAAATTTTGATTCAATATATGTTTTAAATCCTGTTATAGTTTCCATAGAAGCATGTGACTTATGTATGGCAATGAATTCTGTGTGGTTTGTATTGTTTCATTGCAGGCTTTTTCATTAATTTGATTTCACATAGTAAAAACTTTTTTAGATTCTTCAAGACCTTTTCTTCTGCTTGTGAAATTCAGTTTCCAATATGATTGCAGGCAAGGCGTGCATTGAGGGCCTTGAAAGCAGTGGTGAGGCTTCAGGCCATATTTCGTGGTCGACAAGTACGCAAGCAGGCTGCTGTGACACTTAGGTGCATGCAGGCTCTTGTTCGAGTTCAGGCTCGAGTACGAGCACGAAATATTAGGATGTCTTCTGAAGGCCAAGCTGTTCAAAAATTATTGAATGAGTATCATAAAAGAGCTGATCCCACCACGCAGGCTGAGGTGTGAGATAAGCATATTTTTGGATATTCCATTAAGATGTCATGCCTTCTTTGCATTTTCTTCAAATGGTAATATTGATTTCAATTATTGTATCAATGGTTGTCAACAGCAAGGATGGTGTGATAGCCCAGGAACTGTGGACGAAGTTAAAGCGAAGTTGCAGATGAAGCAAGAAGGAGCCATCAAGAGGGAAAGGGCAATGGCTTACTCTCTCTCTCAACAGGTAATAAAACTTGGAAAGAGAGATGATGGATTTGTTTTCTTTCTCCACTTCTTTCCCTGTTTGATTAATTAACAAAATATGTGAAAAGGCTCATGGTGAACAAACATGCATGCCCATCATTAGAAGCTTTACTAATTGCTCTGAATATGAATGCATACAAATTATTTGCTTTCAGACCTCAAGGTTTTGTGCCAGCCCAAATTCAAGGACAATCAAGCAAGTATCATCTCTCAAGCAGCAGAGGTTAGACAAGAACAGTCCAGGATGGACCTGGCTTGAACGTTGGATGGCAGCAAAGCCATGGGAAGGCCGGTTGATGGAAGAAATTCATTTGGATCAATCAGATATGACTTCATTTCCCAGGAAAAGTGAAGATCATAGTTATGGCCTTGGTTCATCTTATCCTGATTATGATTCAATGAATATAAGAAGGAACAATATCACAACCAGAATTCTTGCGAACCCTCCAATAGTTAGTCAAATTGTGTGCTCGTCTTCTGGCCCAAGTTCTGAATCTCTTCAAGACGAGAGCTTCACATCAACTTCATCTACATCTCCATCTACACCTGCAGTTTCCAGCAACATCCACACTGTGGACATGGGAGAAGAACATTATTACCAAAAACCAAGCTACATGAATCTGACAGTATCCACGAAAGCTAAGAGAAAACCTTACAGGTACTCTTGTCTTAACTCGCAGAAGAATATGATTGAGGATGTTCAATTTCAAACAAAATCCATGCCATTATCTAATGGAGACACCAGGAGCACGGCTGGTTCGGATCCCTTGTTTAGTTTGTGCAAGGACCTGTATCCACCACTACCAGTGGCTAGACATGACTGGATAAGAAATAGACGAGGCCGGGAAGCATAAGAATTATTAATATCGTGTTCTAGATACAAATGGTACAGTCTTAAGTGAAGTTCAACTGCTTGTTGTGACTTTGGAACAATCAAGATAAATAGATTTGGAGGATTTAATCATTTAGATATACTTGTAGTATAAACATTACTTTAGCTATAGCTAAAAATATGTATTACTTTCATATGTTTCAATTGAGGACTTTGGTTTTGATTGAATAGTCGTGTTTGGTAGTGAGGACTCTGTAATTATGAGTTTAACATAGAAAAAGAAAAGGTGGAGAAAAGTTGCATGTGTTATTGTGTAGCACAGAATTGAAATTTTCAGTAATTGGTGTTTGGATTCTGCTGATTCAATGAAGAGTGTTGATTTTTTTAACCTTACTCCTTCCTTTCTGCAAACTTTTCATGTAAGATCTATTTTCATTTTGAATCAGGTTTCCCCATGAATTGAAAACAGCGAAAAAAAGAAAGATCCTCCTCCCTTTTGTATTAGGCAATTTATTGTGGCATCAAGAAAGCAAGTATATGAAATAAGTGAAATGATAGATATCTTGATAGAATTAGGCTAATTATTCAAATGCAGAATGGTGCCAAATTGTTTGCCTGCTCATAATTGTACTTACAAAAGCTAGAATAGATTACCCTTAAGACTCTTTTTTGTGTTTTATTATGTTTTTGTCAATCTTCATTTTCCGACAACCCAAATATATCTTAATGATTGTAGATATTGGCCTTTGGAAGGCCACCTGTGCTGAGCCAAATACATTTATAGCATCCATGTAAACATTATGTGAATAACATTTTTACTGAATTTACAATACGTGATTAAGTCAGTAGTCAAATAATATAATTATCAATTTTTCTTTCAAGTAAAAGTTCAAGTTTGTAAGAAATCAAAATTTTTGAAGTGTATTTAAATGCAAAAATAAAAGAAGGTTAGAGGGTTATTTGAACAAAATAAAAATTGTAGAAGGATTTCTGTCATGGTTCTTATTTAGGATCTAGTAATAGAGTTTTGTTATTAATATAAGCTCGTTGAAAGAGAATCCAACGATTTCATAGAATTGAAGTATTCAAAAAACTTTTTTAATCAATTTTTCAGCATATCCATTTCAAAGACAGCAAATGGTTTTCACACAAGAAGGATGAGAAACAGTTGCCCTGGCGAAGAAGTCCAGAGTTATGTGATTTCAAGAACTTGAACTTAACAGGCCTTCCAACAGATTAAATGTGTGTGTGTGTAGATATAATGATAAGAAATTCCTAGATCAGCGGAGCATCAAGAAATGATTATTAACAACAGAACTTTCAATCATGTGATGAGCAATGACTTGCTAGTTTTCATGCTGCATACATAGTATTCATATATATATATATATATATATGTATATGTAGCAGATATGTATAGCTTAGATGGTCCCCGTCATTCACGCTTTGAAAAAGGACCACAAAAAGAGAGATCACCATCATCCTGATTTGATGTAGAAATTAGAAAGATGGGTATTTCAATATAATCATTCAGTGTTGAAGCAAATAACAAGAAAGGAAAAAAAAGGGTGATATTTTGAGAATCAAAATATATAATAGAATAGAATAAGAACAAGAAACTGTACTGGTAAAGAAGATGAACAAGAAGCTTACATGAGTTTCGAATAGAGACAGACAATAAAATGGTTAATGGGTCAGTCTCATCAACACCCATAACCACACATTTACACTAGTTTTTAGACACTATCTCAATCTCGTTAAAACTTTGACTTCTCTTTACTGCATCACCATCCACTATACGTGGCTTTATACATGTATACACACACACACACATATATATGTACATACACCTGCATATCAGTATTTCACAGAGCTTCCCATGTGGCTATATATATATATATATATTTATCTTATATTGCACTAACAAATTAGGATCTTATGTACCAAAATGCACTGAATTTGGTTTCATGGAAATATAATCTTAATCATCCTATCTTGGAAGTGAACTACGTAAAATTTTCCACCAGTATTGCTTATTATTCCCATTCTAACTCAGACTCCAATATTTTATAATAGAATAATTTTACTCTCAAAACAATTTGATAATACTACAGTTTCTATCTCTTATTTTATTTTAAAAGAAATGGTAATATGTTAATTGAGATGATGAAGCCATGAAGAGAGAAAGATAAAAAAAGGGTACATGAAAGTGTTCTTGAAATTTGAGTAAATAAGTGGACTTTCTTTCATGGGGTGTTGTCATGAAGAGAAGGAATGTGGGGGCAAGTGGGATCTTTTAAATTAAGGGTGTGCTACTAGGCCACATATACATCTATATATTTGTATACACACACACACACACACACACACACATGTATCTCTCTCTCTCTCTCTCTATATATATATATATATGTATATATAATTTTTTTGTCTACCCTGTGGGCTGTGGGGGCACATATAAACAGTGGTTTGTTTCATTACTTTTATGGCACAAAAGGTTTCTCTCATCTTCTTTTCTAATTTACTGCTTCATTGTATAAAAGTTAAAGCAGAGAGTAGAGAGTGATTAGATATGTGTCTTTTAATTATAATGTTAGCTGTGATTGATTCACCCAACATGGAGTTTGTATTTTCCAGTTTTCAAGCTTTGCTTCTTGTCTATTTAAAGCCTAACTTCATTTTATAATCAAGGATAAAAGATGTGGAACACCTGTCACCATGTCTTTATTCATTTATTTTACACTTCATGAGTTGCCCATAATTTCTCCTCCTTTCTTTATTTTATTTACAAAAAATATATATATATAGTTGAATATATACATATTTCACCTTTCGTGCACTGAATTATTAGTTTCAGGTATGACTTGTATAATATTACGAAGATATATATGGAAATTACATTAATGTCTAAAATGGTGCACCGAGAAAAATGATCTTTGAACAAAAGAAGATTTCTTTCTCTGTTTTCTGTGCTTTTTAGAGGCCAAGTTGGAAACTTTCAAATCCTTTATGATGGGAGAAGAAAGTTTCCTAGGTAAGTCCATTGTCATTTCGGAGAATAATTAAAGACAAATTATTTTTCAGTTTTCTAATTATAGAACAAGCTTTTATTTTCAAATGTTAATATGGTAATTCTAGTTTTTGGAAAATTGAATCTGGGTAGGTAAAAATTTGCATATGGGGTCGGCTCATGACAGTGGAGAAATTTTACTTTTCTTCTTCTTCTTTTTTTTTTTTCTTTCTTTCATTTTCTTGTTTTTGGGTTTTAGTTCATCAATGTTTGTTTTCTCCCATATGATATGTATACATGTATGTTAGGGAATTGGGTTAAAAATGAAAGTGAAGTAATGAAAAAGACGAATAACAAAACGAAATAGGGTTTTTGAGAGACGACAAAGAGATACCCAGAAAATGTTTTATGTACTCTGGTTGATTCCTGAATGAGTTGTGAGGGGATAAAAAAAAAAAAACCAAAGAAACAAAATCTTCACACAGCTGATGGCTCAACAAATAAAGCAAAAGAGACCGGGTGGGGGCATTAATTGTAGCATGTGCAAACGATAAAATCAAGAATCTTGTTGGGTCATTTTTATTTTATTTTCTTCCATCACAAGCATTCCAAACTTTTACTTTTGCTTTCATAAGCAAGAATGAAAAAAAAAAAATGCAACCTTTGAATTCCTTCTATCTTTCTCTCCATGCATATTCCACATTACATTACATGAGTAATAATCATCCTTTTCGATTTTTTCATCTTCAACCTCTTTAATTTCACTCTATTTTTTTTTTAAAAAAAAAAAATACAAGTTTCTTCGTACAAATTTTTTGTATAAACTTTTTTCAATAATCATTATTGAACTATTAAGTAATGTATTATCACCAAACAGTATGATATCGTCAACATATAAAACTAAAAATATAATAACATTGTTATCACTAATATTCTTGCAAATACAAAGTTAATTCTCATTTCTAATAAGATCAAATTTTTTTGTATTTCATTCAAACATATATTTCAAGTGCATCAAAACCTTATTAAGTCTATAAATAGATTGGTATTGCTTACATATAAGGCTCACTAACAAGCTTAAAAAGCTTCTAGTTATATGTTAAGTAGACTTCTTTTTCAATGTTAGGTTTTTTGTGCTAAGACCAAGCCTGACCCTCCATAGACCAGGTCGTACTACCCGGTCAAATTAGATTAATTGACAAATAATGTTTATTTTTACACATAAACTAAGTAATTTAGCTTAATATGTGGAAGTTTTTGAGACACGGTAAATAATTGACAATACAAATTGTCATCATAAAGTAAAGGTTAGGACGATTTTTTTCTAATAAATCCTCTATATTGCTCAAATTAACTTTTTTTTTTTTTCCTCTAAAAGCTCAATTAGAGAATTCTTATTGAAGAAACTCTAACTCCTTATTTGAATTGTAGTAAATGATAAAATTTTAACGTATGGTACTTCACGGGTGTGAAAAAATTATATTTGTTTTAACTTCCAATTGTAATAAATGGTATATGATCGATAAATTTGATATTAATTTTAAAACTACCGAATCGGTAGTATGTGATTGACAGATTACTTTTCTTTCCTTTATATCCCCATATAATATACTTAATTCTATTTTTATCCTCACAACTTATTATTTATTTTATTAAATATAAAAATTTAATTTGCAATAATTATTTATTTAAATAAAAATGTAATTATATTGGTAAACAATTTAATTTAATTTTTCATTATATATTTATTATATATCACTTACTATTACGTAAATAAGTATGGATAAATTAATAATTTAACTGAAAATACAACCATATTATCCTATCATCAAAATAAAAATATGTCATTAACATACATTAATATACAATCATCCAAACATTAAAAAATTTTGTCATTCTCATTCAATTACTGTTATTACCATACATTAATTAACCATCACTAAAATTTATTTATATAAGGTGTAACTGTTTAGATCTTAATCCAAAGCTTAAATATTTAAATTCTCGGATGTGAAGAAAAAATAGAGTCATTTCTTTTTATCTCCCTTGCTACACAAATATTATTTGGTATTAATAATAATATAATTGAAACTAAGAGATTGTGATTTGTTATAAAGTAACGAGATCTTCATAAGATTTGATATAATAATATGCATGATAAATTCAGATAAATAAATAAGTCATGAGTAGAAATTTGCACATTCATCAATAAATAATATACAATTATAAATTATAAGTCAACAGAAAATAATATTTTAATAATGATAAAGAAAAAAAAAACATAAATCTACAATTTTTTTTGGATAAAATAATATATGTACCAACCATTGAATATATATTTATTTATATATATATATAATTAATTAATAAGCTATTAATGAATAAACTTTGATCTCTTCCTCTTAGTGAAACATGTTTAGAATTTATAGAATATTGAGATTAATTGGCGGTAGCTATGCGGTAACAATCACGATTGTTGACCTTAATGAAAACAGCTATTTTAATGGTGGCAAAAGAGGTTATTAAGAACGAGTAAAAACTTCTTTAAAGAGAAAGAACCATAATAAATGTGATTATGTAATATAATATAGACATATATATAGATATAGCAGCTTGCCATTTACTTACACAGTTTCAACAGAATTCTGTATGGCAATGTCCAGGGTTTACTATCCATTTTCTGCAACATGCCAAGATTTATACTTGGTAGATTTATATATATTTACCTATGCAAATGTAAATAAAGGATAGCATGAGTTTCTCCAATATTAGAAATCTTCATCCAAAATGTTTATACATATATAAATATATATAATTAGAAGAAAATATCAATATATAGGAATCTTGGTGCGTTTAATTTGACTTATGAATAAAATATAGAACGTAAATAATAATGCGAAACAATTCTACTATTAGAAAAATTACCAGAACACAATAAAAGAACAAATTTAGTGGGAGAAAAATAACATTTCTAATGACACGCAACATTCAATACTAATATCACTTTTATACATATATATACACACACATATTGTCAAAAACTTTGCATTATCTTCCAACATTTAAGTATCTCAACCTTACTAAAACGAATATAGAATTCATACCGCTTAAAGAAGGCCAAAGAATTTTAAAAAGAAGGGTTTTGTATTTTCGGTGGAAAAATATGGATGAATTTACATATATACATATATAAATATAAATATATATTTACGTACGTATACATGTGTATGTATACATGCGTCAACTAATTAACAAGACTGTGTATCAAATCAATCATCTTCTTGATTTCCATAAAGAATCTATAAAGAAAAGGTGACGAGCATCCCTACTTTTCTATACGTGAGTGCTTGGGTTTTACTTGCATTGCAAGAACAGGTTATTAATGAATGAGAGATTAATATACGTACATTAATACTGTGTAGAATATACATTGTGGGAGTTGTTGGGATTTTCTGGAAGAGGAAAAATAAGAACAATGGATTATATATATGACAGTGTATGTAATTGAGTAACGTGAACAAACTATTTAATTGGAACATATTTACTCACAATTGTAACTACTCTTAAACGGGTTTATACCAATAGCATCCGATTAATTAGATACATGTTATCATTTGAAATTTACTCGGTATATATATATATATATTTTTTTTTTAAAGTCATTGTGAGTATCTTATTTTTATAAAATATTATTTGTTCTTAGAATTTTCTTTTTTTTTTTTTGGGGTGCATTGTAAATGAAATGGAATTAAATTTATTAATTCCAATTTGTTTTTGTTTTTGTTTTTGTTTTTTGCTTTCCTCCATATTGCTTAGTTACTAATCCATCTCTCTCTTCTTTCTAGAGAGACTTTCAATTATGTATTTGAATTATTCACTTTCTTATTAATCATTCCTTAATTTAATTATGAATATTTAAGATGTCACCACACAACATATATAAACATATATATATAACATTATTATTATTATTATATATGTGTATAAGAAGAAATTAAATTAGAACAAATTAACTTGAGAATTTGTTGAGATATTGAAATTGATTCTCATTTCTTCTAAATTTGTGTTTGTGATGGACCCTCATGCACTTGATTGCATGCATGTAATCTTCTATTTTATTAACAAATTATTTAATATTTAATATCATAATCCTGATAATTATCTTTTTACTAATGAAATTCATGACAAGTCCATGCTCCACTAATCTTTTAACTACATTATATAAATGTGATTATTGGTTTTTTTTTTTTTTTTTTTATGGAATTTAATTCTACTTATAAATTCATTAAAATATATATATATATAGTTAAAAATAAAAAGGACCATAGTAAAATAATATATAAATTTCTAATATATATTTTTTTTAGAAAATTATATTTGTACTTGTAATTAATTATTGCATAAATACATTTTATAAAAAGGAATAACACAGCATCTATGGTAGGGTCAAGTTCAACTATCAATGCCGTGAAAAAGAGAAACTGTTTTGTGGGAGTTGGCATATATATATATATATATATATATATATACGTTTATATTTATATATTTATATAGGTCCATTTTATCTGGGTTTCAGTCAAAAATATTAGTGAGGTTCCTTTCTTTTTCCCAGGTTCAATGATTCAATCATGATCAGTCATCACATCACCCGACCTTCAGGGCATCCCAACCGTCAGATTAGCTGACTTCATCCATTAAATTTTAGAAGAAAAAAATAATTAAAAAATCAGAAATTGGTGAGAATAATATAGCTAGGGAGAGATGAAAGGGGAAATGTGATTGGATAAGTGTAAAGTGGGACCAGGGAATGGGACCCACAGGGGTGCATGTGTGCCACGTGGACAAAGGTAGCCCCCACAGAAGGGGTGAGTGAAGAAAGAAGAATCCCATTATAAGCCATACATCTCTTACAGGATGAAACTGCAGCTTTTAGCATTTTGCCCACAAACCCTAACTGGTTGGGGCCACCTTTCTTCTCATTAAATTTAATTTCACTCCACTCTCAGTTTCACTCATTAATTTCCCCTTTTTCTGTTTTTCAAAAGTGAGAATCACTCACTCTCTCTTTTGATCTATTATCTTGAGGTGTTTTCCTTCAAAAATTAATATTCCCAGTACTGATCTTGCTTGGAATAATAGGCTGCAAGACTGGTTTTCTTGAGAGACAAAGAAAGATGGGACATCACTCCTGCTGCAACAAACAGAAGGTGAAGAGAGGTTTATGGTCACCGGAGGAAGATGAGAAGCTCATTAACTACATTTCAACCTATGGCCATGGATGCTGGAGTTCTGTTCCAAAACTTGCAGGTTCATTTCATGCTCTAATCAAAACTAAAATATACATGTGTTTGTGTGTGTATTCTTCCCTTGCAAAACCTCATCTTCTCTCCCTCTCTCTCTCTCTCTCTCTATATATATATATATATATATGTATTTATGTATATGTCTTCCTGAGATCATCTTTTCAAAGAAACAGATATTTTTGATTTGATTTTAATTCCCCTTCCTTCTGAGCTTGTGTCTGATTTTTTTATGCTGTTGCTGCAGGGCTGCAGAGATGTGGGAAGAGCTGCAGGTTAAGATGGATTAATTATCTGAGGCCTGACCTCAAACGTGGGAGCTTCTCTCCCCAAGAAGCTGCTCTTATCATTGAACTCCATAGCGTTCTTGGCAACAGGTACCTACTTCCCCAAATTAATACAACAATTTTAATCACGCTTAATTGATCTTTATGAGTACTTTTCTAGCTATAGTCAAATAAGTTGGCTATAATCAATGATTATGATTCATAAGTTGGCTATAATGATGGCGGTGGTTAATTCTATAATATTAATTCATGGGTGCTGTAGATGGGCTCAGATAGCTAAGCATCTTCCAGGAAGAACAGACAATGAGGTGAAGAATTTTTGGAACTCAAGCATAAAGAAGAAGCTAATGTCTCATGATCATCATGTCTCTGGTTTACCCAATTTCAATGACCATATGCATCATGATCATCATCATCATCAACAGCCTTTCTTCTCTCTCAATGGAAACCCTAATTTGATACTCTCTACACCTCATCAGCAAGATCAACTCTACCTCCCCTCACCACCACCACAACCACCAGTATTGTTACAAAACTTTGGTCATCCAGATCATTTCAGGTCTACTTCCATTAATGTCAATGAGGAAAATTTGGTCCATCATCATCATATACTTTCCAATTCATCTTCCATTGATCACTCTACATGGACATTCCCATATTACCTACCTGAAAATCCAATCAGCTCTACTCAAGAAAATCAAAGCTTCAGCAATGATTATGTCAAGCTTATAGACATGTCAAGAATCTCACTGCCACCTTATCACGAGAATGCACTCATCGTGCCCAAGCTTTGCAAGAATATCCTTGAAGCGAATACAGATAATAATAACTTGTGCAGCAACATGCCATCTTCTTCATCTGCTTCACTGGAGGTTCTTGACCCAGTAATGGCTAGACTGTTATGTTTCCCATCTGGGCCTTACCCGCACGTGCCACAAACGAATCAAGTGGAGTACTTTCATGAGACAATGATCATGCCATCATCTTCATCATCTTCCTTATCGCCATTGTCAATCAATCAATATGCTGCAAACCCTAATGTTGGCTCAACCACTTGGGACCCCTAGACATGGTATGATGTAGTTTACTATATATGGTTCAGTGGAAATGGGGATTCCAATTTAACAGTCATAGAGTAGTAGTAACGCGTAGTCTCTACATTTATTACTTGAAAAATGAAGGTCTTGAATAGTGAGTAATATATAGTAGCTGATGGCACTCCGTAATTACTAGTGCAGGCTTCTTTCTTCACATGTTTCTCATTATTACCTGCGTATAATTTGTATATCAATTAAGGTTTTTCTCTACCGAGGACTGAAGAGTACTATGTATCTATATATACATATATATATATATATATATATATATTTGAACGTAATTTGAAAAATAACTCTCTCTTTCTCAAATCAATGTATCTATTGGTGGGGTCACCAATACAACATTGACAAATTAATTGCTACATAAGTACACTACGTCTACATACATATGGTCAACTTTTAGGAAACTTGGGCATTATCATTCACCAATAATTGCATAGAATGATATATGTGTTTACTTAAAAGTACCATATGTTATTTTATATATATAAACTCAGGAAACTCAAGTTGCAACATGAATTACATTGTCATGTTTGCATTAGTTAATTATTTATCTATCCATCAAATAATACACATTCTTAATGTTGATTGTATGTGATTAATATTTCAATTTATTTACTGCAGCTCAATGACAGTTATGCTTTGACGGACCCCTTATCCTTCGCGGCATATATATATGTGTGTGTCTGTGCGTGTATAGTTGAATGCATACTATTATATAAAAGTTGTGTGCGTGCCATGGAAATGGAGATTTTAAAAATTGAAGCGTAGCAGGCAGCTCCTACGTGAGAACCATGCAGGTAACTGGTAGAGTAGTAAAACCCTCTATTAAAATATTCACTTGGGCCAGACCAAACGTTAATTTGTTGGCCCGAAATCTGACTTTCATGTCCAATCTTACACAAAAGTTTCATGTTTTATAATGATCCAAGGCAGAAAGTCAGAAAACATGTCTCGCAAAATCATATCCTTGCACCCTATAATAACCTTGCAAAATCAATATGCTGACAGGATTCCAGTTGCCGCAGCCTTTGACAATGATTTGAGAAATTTCAAGCAGATTTGCTTGTTTTTGCACCAGTACCAGATGTGTATCTACCCCATTCGCACATTTCTTTCTTTGCCTTCATTGCGCTTCATGTGTTATTTCAAAAAGGAAACTACCAGAGCTTCTTTATCAAAAAGACAACAACAGATAATTGCTGAAACTACAAAAGTTTCCATGTTATTTTGAGCAACACGAAATTCTACAGCACATATGAATGATGTTACTTTCCAACATGCAACTTAAATCAATTCAATACCATCAAGTAATAACAAGCAGTTTCAAACTTCCTGCAGAGTGTTATGGGCATAGGCGCAACCACCACAAAGAAACTGGGGGTGCTGCTATTTGACCCATCACTCGAGTGAGTCAGCTTCTAACTTCCTTATAAAACAATGCAATGAATGAATGCAGAAGCTAAGCTGAGATTCTTGAACGACCCTTTGCTATTCTTCGGGCAATAACTCTGCGACCTCCCTTGGTTGCCTTGCTGCTCAATATGCGAGAAAACACGTTAATCAAGCATGTCTCCAGAACTCTACAATTTTGTGAACAGAAGACCCAGAAAAGTGCTCACAAATAGGGGAAAAGAGAATCAAGGATTAGTCACTAAAGTAACATAATAACAGTGTCAAAAAGTACGTCATCTGGTCAGCTATAGGGTAACAAGTTCGAATAAAACCTCACATTAAACTTGGAGTTGATACAACATATGCACTTCACTCGGCACTAAGTTTTATCCTCAGATTTTAGCAGTAAAGGAACTTCATGATGTCTCAAAACTACCAAGTGGTCCAATCAATTACAGGGAGAAAACCTTCATAATCAGGGAATGAATAACTAATCTAGAAAGACATACCGCGCAAAGAATCCATGAGTCCTCTTGCGTCTGATTGTGCTAGGTTGGTATGTTCTTTTTGGAAATAAGAGCATCGGCTCACTAGATGAGTCTACTGCAGAACATAATAGAGACTAGTTATTCAGAAATCAAGAAACAAAACAAACCTCATAATGAAACACTTCTTCCCATATATGTTAAGTAGAATCACAAACATTGGAGGACAAGGACAGAGCTCAAGTAGGGGCAGCTGCCTCCCCTGCTACAGCTTTTGGAGAAAAAATAGGGAATGACTGCAGACTTCAGTTAAATTACATTGTTTTTCCTATTAAGTCCAAAAATGTTAGATGGTTGTGTTATAAGTGGTGTGTATGTGTCACCTAATTAATGAAATGTATAAATTTCCACTAAAAGAACAAAATTCATCAGCCAATTAAGATCATTTGTATTAAAAAATTAGTTGATAAGATAATCAACTAAAACAACTTTTTTTTTTCAATTTTGTAACTGTTAACTTAGATTGTTCGACTAGAAACATGGAAATTAAAGATACAAATTTGTGATATAATTAAAACACTCCTTTTCTTTTTTGCGCCCATAAAAATTTCCTACCTTCCTCCCAGATTTGATTTGGACCAATTCATGAGAGTAATATTTTATTCATTCTTTCATGCATACATGACAAGAAATACCATTCATTTGCAGATAAATTTAATATCATAATTGAAAACCTTAGGCTCATTGAAGGTTTGGAAAAGAAAAGCTGTTAACAGGAGCCCCAGCATGCAAAATGCTTAAAAAAAAAGGAGCAAATGAAAAATGAGTTTGAAAAAGAAAAATAAAACAATGAACTTTTTATGTTAAATATTCGTTGGAACTGTTCTAGGCCAAAAATAAAAAGATCAGTACTCAGAAGACAGTTAGCAGAGTTAAAAAGTGCCAGGTGATGATATAGCTTATAGAGAGCCATGGTTTGCCCTCAAAATCTCTTTAAACCCATTAAGCAATTGGACATCCAGCATGCACTGCACAAAATAGAATGTGGACTGGTTTGTTCTTGAGGGGGAAAAAAGGCTAGAGGGCTTTGGTTCCTTCCAAAACCAACATAAAAGCCACGTTGCCTAAAGTTAAAATGAATCTAGTGAAACCACTTTAAGTAAGAATTATACCCCTTAGAAGAATTGAAATCAGATATAACATTCAAATTAGGCATAAGCATACAGCAAGCCCCCCAATACCGCTAAAAATTCTTATTAGAAGCAAATATTATTATCTAGTTGATGAATTTAAAGCCAGTATAGGTTGAGTAAACTCCAAGAACCAACTAAATTCTGCATTGTGAACAACTTCTAACTAGACAGGAAAAAACCGGATTCAAGAATACATTTATTTACCATAAGAGTAGGTACATAAACTAAGATTTTAATCATAAACAGAACATCCAGTTCAACAAACTAGGGGAAGCAGGATTTGATTTTTAGAGTTTGGAAAGGTCATACAATTTATCACTTAACTTCAATGAGGGCTTAGAAACAAACAACAAGAAATCAAGTTTACTAAGTAACTTCTTGAAATGGTAATTCAGATATTTCAGGTTCTCACGCAACTAGATTTAAGTTTCAAAACCTGAATCACTTGTCTTCTGAGAACTACTTTATCTACAGCCATATTTTAGAAACTAGAGCATAAATTGAAGAATCTATCAACAAGCCATAGAAATATAGACATCTAAAATTGCACACATATAACTCGTAACTCAAAATCTTAACTTGACCCCCCTTAAAATCATATGTTTAGTAGACAAACAAATAGAAGTTAGAATCTACAGAAGCACCATGCATCGACCAACGGAGCATTATGAAAATCATAAGTCTGCATAAATAAGTTTACTAACACATACTACGTAGGAACAAAAATCCACAAACATCCAGAACATATAAGAATAAGAATGTAGACGATACATCCATAGGGTACATAGGAATAGAATCACATAAGTAGATACAAAGAGACGAGAAAGGGATTACCGTCGGGCAAGAAAAATCGCAGAGAAGGGAGACCAGACGGGTAGAGGAATCCTTCAGAGGAAAGCCTAGAAAGCGAATCGGCATCGTTTTGGGGCAAATGGGGCGAAGGCTGGAGCTTGGAGAGTGAAGGGAATAGCGGCTGAGTAATCTGGAGTCTTTGAGATACTGCGTGCTGATTCGATTTCGGTGTCTGGACACGAAGAATAGGGCTTGAGAAAACCCGGTTCACCAACGAAGCTCCTGCTTTGATTAGGGTTTTGGTCGCCATGTTCTTGGAGAACAAAGGGTTCTGGTTTTGTGTTTAAACCCACTGCGAGAGTATTTCTGAGAGAGAGAGAGAGAGAGAGGCTTCGGACGACGGCGCAGCCTATCGAAGTTTTCCATTTCATTTAAAAAGGCTATTGTTAATATTTATTTTATAATAACTGAGGTTTATTGATGCAATTTATTTAATAAATTTGTATTTATTTTAATTGTGAGAGCGTCAAAATATTTTAATTTTTAAGCAATGTTAGAATAATATATTTTAAATTTACCAAATAAATTTTATACATTATAAAATATCGTATCATTTAAATGTTAATTTTTACTTCTAAACTATAAATTTTGATCATTCCAAATATAAGTTTAATATTTCTTTTCTTCCCAAAAATGTATAACTCATAATAAAACATATTAATTACCTATTCATTAAAACTCTTTTAAGTTTTCACCACATGTACATTATAATCCTCACTAATATATATATAAAACAAACTCAATAAAAATATTTAAAATCAAATTTTTTCACTGGTGTTTATTATCCAAACAGTGTAATAACATTGTTTATTCAATTAATTTGAAACAGACAGTTTTCACCACATGTAAATTATATAGGCTTTGTTTTGAATGACTGTCCTGATAACCAACAAAAATGGCTTAAATCAAACCACATGAACAAACAAACAAAGTATTATTTAGAATGTGAAGTAAAAAAGAAAGCTACATACATACATACAGTACAGCACCAAGAAAGGAATGCCAAGGAAAAGCACAGAGCCATACAATACAAATTTGGGACCCGGCCATTTCCTATACCTTTCCTGTCAAACTACAACAAACCAACCCAACCCAAGCTTCCAATATTATAAACCTCCCAAAAGAACTAATAAAATGAAAATCAACAACAGATTAGACACAAAACCCACAGAGTGATGAAAAAACCACAAATCAATTGATTCACTAGGTTAATGCAACTGCATACAAGAGCTCTGACGTTGCCCAGCCTCAGGCTTCTTGCTCCCCACCAAGTGCACTGGAGATCCAATCTGACGTTGCCCCTTGAACGTCCGACTCAACATGAGGAATAAGTGACAATGGAGTTATGGCAACCTAAGATTCCATATGGGTTAAACACAAAAAAAGTTTGAGAGTTGACAAAATATACATGGGAGAGAGATACTGAATCTAATTCAACCACAAGATACAATTACATCCTTTAAGCATTCCAAGCATGTTAATTAACTGTCTATTTACAACATTACGTCTTGATAACAGGCTCGAGTTTCTCATATCTACATATATCTTTGTTCCATGTGTTTTATCACTAGTTTATCTGAATGTCAACATTTATAATGTAATGAGTCCATTGTTTCTGTTTTCTACTTTTTAAATTGTTTCTGAAAGGTAATCGGCTCTCATATAAGCAATGACCATATTTTCAAAGTAAAATATTTCTCCTTCCACATGCAGAATATAACAGAATAAACTTAATCAGATCCAACATGACTGGATGGCATCCATTACTCAAGAAAACGGAATATGGTGCTTCAACTTACAAATCCATCTTCAAGTGCCCGGAAATCCAAATCTTCCTCTACATCTTCCTGTTCCTTATCTACAAACTGCAGATAAATGTAGATAGCATGCTCAATAGACAAAAATTTATTGTTGAGCAGTTAGAAGCAACCACCTACCATCACCAGAAAGCCCCTAAAAAGTTTTCGAACAAGCAATCAATTTAATGGAACATAAAAGCCTTTACCTCCAGACGGAAGTACTTTTTCACACGATTGTTATCAGGTTTTCCAGCAACCCCCACTGATTCAATTTCTACATTCTTCCTCTGAGTAGTCACACGACGAGCTGCACCCTGGTAGAAACATTAAAATCTAAGTCCAAGAATATAAAAAGATAATATTCTGTGATAGCTTCATCCAAAGCAATATAAGAAACATACGTTCTTCAAAAAATTTTAACATAAGTTACTCACAGCAGCAGAGGCATCTCGACTCAGCTGCGCAAGCTGAATGCCGAGGCTTTGTTGATTGGACATGAAATGTCCAGCAGAAGGGTGCCGGTTAGTTGAAACAGCAAGCCAGTTCAGCCTGGATCTCCACATACTTTGTTTGGTTACTTTAAAACCCTGTTGCACATGGAATCAAGAAGACTAAATAAATTTACATAACCAGAAAAACACTAAGATGTCACTATAGGACTCTGCAAGGGAGTAGAAAGCAAAGAAATTGTTTTAAGTTGTAACTGATATGTTCTTAAAACAATAAATCTGCAGCAAGAAAAATGTGAGAAGTAAAATTGAAATAGGACAGCCAGTCATGCACTTTCTTGAAACCAGACAAAATAAAAGTGTGTACAAGGCAGAGTACAGAAATCAGGTAATACAGTTAAACAATCAAAAGAGCTGGGTTAAAAAATATACATACGGTGTATCCAAAATTACTCTCAAAACAATCCAATGGATAAAAACTGAAAAGTTACAGGTTATCATGGAAAAATACAAATAACATATAAGCAACATTGAAATGGATCAATTAGACCTTTCCAATTGTTATTGTTGATAAGAAACAAAAGACACCAAAAAAGTTTAACAGGAAAATTATAGAGAATCCTAAATGCCTCATGCACAAAATCTACACCATAGCATATCTCACTATGTTCAAAAGGTTATTCACAATAAAAATCATATCTTGTTAGAACAATATGGGAACTGTTTTTTTTTTTCTTTTGGTCAAAGAAATGTGAGAATAGTTTTGTTTGAGACTTCAAATAAAAAATGAAGCTTTAGGCTCCAACCATAGATAAGGGAATAGAAAACTTCCAAAATAAAAATAGGCAGGTAGAAGAGAAACTATGTATATATAGATGAGTACATACATATAAACACGCGCGCACACACAACACAGAGAGATCTAACCAGAATAGAGAAAAACTGAAAAGTTACCAGTTATCATGGAAAAATACAAATAACGTGTGTACGCAATATTGAAATGGACCAATTACACCTTCCCATTGTTGATATGAAACAAAAGACACCAGACAAAACCTTACAGAAAATATCCGAGAACCCAAAATGCCTCAAACACAAAATCCACAGCATGGCATTTCTCACAAGGTCCAAAAGGTGCTTGAAGATATATATATATATATAAATCATATCTTGTTAGAAAAATCATGTCAGAACAATTTTATCTGAGACTTGAATGAAAAATGAAGCATTAGACTCCAAGCCTAGACAAGAGATCCATGTCATAAAAAATTAAGCATTTGACATCTGAAATTTAGCCATGCATGATAAGATAACCACATATTACAATTAGAAGCTTATATTTATAACAATATACAGAGGAGTTAAATTTGAAGCAGATATCACATGCCACATGAAAGTTTCTTGAAGCCAGTGTGCATCTCACAACATCAAAAACATCAATTAACATGCAGTGAAAGTCCTCAGCAAAAATTGGAAATACAAACCTTATTTGTCAAGGGAGATGTTGGAATCTCCACATCAAGAGAACAACTTTTGGGGAAAATTCCCTTGTTAATGTCTCTGATAGCTGCATGTATTAAAGGTAAACATACAGCAACTGCATCCTTAAAATCACCTTCCTTACTTTCATCCTTCTTCCTACCATGAAACGGCCAAAAAATTAATACCAGCTATGACCAGATGTTAAGAACTTGTAATTATATGCAAAAACACAAAAATATTCAATATTCAATTTACCAGTTCAGTGATATAGACAAAGATGGTAATCCACAAATTAAAGCCTCTCTAGCTCCAGCAACAACACCTGAGTGAAACCTGTTGGAATCTCATTTCATCAAAACTATGTCTCCAAGTAACAGGCAAAGAAGGTTATTGAAAACTGGAAAAAGGCAACAACAGGTCTTTACAGCTTCAACTGGCATCATCAAGAGGTAAGCTGTAGTCATAGATTAATTTATAAAAGGCAGCCCTCCAAAAAAATCAATTAAAATACAGGAATATGACAAGAAAAAGCCTTACATGTTATGGCCACAGCTTGATCCCCGGTTAATTCCACTAATTACCTGGAAATTAAATTATACACAAAATTTTACAAAAACACCATACAAAAATCTATGCATAATCCAATTAATAACTTCAAATAAATACCAACCAGCAGTGGCTTTGACCCAGAGAAAAGGGCACCAGATAATGCCAAGGAGACACAGTCCGCAGGAGTCCCTGAGCAACAAAAATCATTGCCAAAGCTTCTACTGTCAAAAACCAAAAGTGAAAAGCAAAATGCAATCAAATTTACACAATTGTCGTCCACTTAGTCAATGAAAATGCAATCTCCTCAAAAATTCAATAGCAATAAACAGCAAACAATATTTCTAAGATTTTCCCCAAAAGAACATCAAATCATAACAACTTGAGACAAACAGCAGTATGATCAACAGACATAAAAAGGCATAGGCATACCCGACACTTCATAAGCTGTGACGCCATTTATTTCACCTGAACTTACAGCAATTGTTTCTTGGAGAGTGACAGAATGACCCGAACCAGATTTATCCCTGAAAAATTATCAACAAAAAATTTGAAATAATATCTCCAAAATATAACGTAGATACTATATGTTAGAAAGAATCCCGTGCCTATACATCAAACCCAAATAATAAGCAATGCATAGATAGGAATCAATTTTGAGAGAAAACCATACATCCAAATACCAAAACTCAAGAAGAACAAACTACTAAAGTAAATGAGATCAAAATTTTAAGAAAAGTCCAGATACATACGTAAATCCAGAATAACATATGATAAAGGATTAAACCAAATAATAAGAAATTACAGATTAAAAAAAAAAAAAGCAATGCATAGATGGGAATCAATTTTGAGAGAAAACCATACATCCAAATACCAAAACTCAAGAAGAACAAACTACTAAAGTCAATGAGATCAAAATTTTAAGAAAAGCCCAGATACATACGTAAATCCAGAATAACATATGATAAAGGATTCAGATAAATGGAACGGAAACTAATGTTTTTAAAAAATGAAAAAAGAAGCCCACGCATCCAGTTAAGTAAACAAGTAGAATTGAAAATCAAAATAAAAAGAAGCCAAGGAATGGAAATGGCTCAGGTACCAAAATGCAAATATACAAATAAAATCAAACAAAAATAACGAATCTAGAGAAACAAGTAGCAAGGAGCGAAGAACAATTGAAAGGAAACCCACGATTGAGGGGCGCAAACATGGACATTATAGAGGCCTTGACTTTCCAAAGCCTCAACAAGGACGGAATAAGCCAGGAGATTCAATCCCATCAGCGTTGG